CATCGATTGGTTGCCTCCCACACAGGCCCCAACAAGGGCCAGGGGTCACACCTGCAGCCCAGGTACCTGCCCTTGACCAGGGATTGAACTTGTGACCCTCTGGTGCACGGGCAGACACTCCAACCACTGAGCCCACCAGCCAGGGCTGAACATGTACCATTTATTTATTTATTTATTTATTTATTTATTTATTATTATTATTTTTTAATCCTCATCCAAGGACATTTTTCCATTTTTTGTACAGACAGAGCGGGAGGGAGAGAGAGGAAGAGAGAGAGAGAGGGAAACATCGATGTGAAAGGGACACATCGAGTGGCTGCCACCCGCACGACCAACCAGGGTCGGGGACAAACTGCAACCGAGGTACGTGCCCTTAGCGGGAACCAAACCCGGGTCTCTCCGGACCGCAGGCGGACGCTCTAACCGCTGAGCCAAACCGGCCAGGGCATACCTTTTATTTTTTGTTTTTTAAATAATTTTTCTTTTTTTGATTTTAGAGAGGAAGGGTGAGGGAGAGAGAGATAGAAACATTGATGAGACAGAACACTGACTGGCCACCTCCTGCATGCCCCACACTGGGGATCGGCCCCAGAACCTGGGCACATGCCCCGACCGGGAATCGAACCGGCGACCTCTTGGCGTGTGGGTCAATGCTCAACCACTGAGCCAGACCAGCCGGGCTGGCCATGTACCTTTCAAATGGCGCAAAGGAGTTCTGTTATGTGGAGAAGAGTTTGGGGTGATCATTTTCCCAAATCAGGAAAAGACCTCCGTTGTGTCACGCGGCGTTGAGCAGCTGACCGCGCGAGGCAGCTGGCCCGCCGTGCGTGCCCACAGCTGGAAGACGCAAGTCTGCGGAGCGGACACGAGCCAGAAGCAGCGTGTGACGGGGACGGCGGGAGGGACGGGAGCTGTAAGCCGGTCTGAATTCCCTGTGCGTGGATGTGGGAACTTCTGAAACTCCCCTGCGGGCTGAGACGCCCAGTGGGAGCCCCCTGCTCCTGGCTCTGCGGTCGGAAGGCAGAGACCAGAACTGCGCCCCCAGCTGCTGGGACCGCGTCCCCAGTCCTGAGGACTTGCTGACAGCAGACAGGTGAGGAGAGAAGCATCCAGATCCAACTGCCTCGCCCCGCGGTTCTGGAGGGTGGACCCCGAGCGGCAGCGGTGCCCCTGGGGACCGGGCAGAGACGCAGCATCTGGGCCCTCCCCAGGCCTCCGGGAGCCGACTCTGAGGATGAGGCAGCAACGGAGTGTGAGCGGGCTATTCGGATGTTTGCTCCGGTTTGACCCCCATGACGGGAGTCCAGGGGTTTCTCCAGGTCTGAGGAGCCCCCGCTGCGGATTCCCAACTGCGAGGCGGGTCTGGAAGGGGCCAGAGAGCCCGTTTCTCTGTCTGATAAATGGCGACGCAGCTGGAAAGTTTCATTTGGAAAACAATTCTGCTGCTTTTTTAAAAAAAATTGAGAACAGTGAACAGATGGGAGTGCGAGTGCCCAGGGGCAGCTCGTCTTTGTAGAATGTTCTCCGAGGTCTGGGCTCTGCCTCCTGCGCCATCGCCATCCGGGGGCCAAAGGCAAGTTGGAACCCAACCCCTTACAGTGGCTCAGCGCTCTCTCCGACTGCCGTCCTCGGGCTTCAGGAAAGACAAGGTGGTCGTACCCCTGTACCCCTTTCCCTCTGTGGAGACCCACCTCCGAGGTGGGGCCGCCTCCCCCCTCTGGATTCAGAAGGAAGAATTCGTAGCCCGGAGAAGCCTGCTGTGTTTCGCTCTTTGGTGACTTCATCCAACGCGCTGGCCCACTTTTTAAAGTAATTTTTTTTTTAAAGCGTATTTTAAACTTTTAATTGCCATTTGATTTTTTAACTTGAAGCACCAGCCCTGCTCTGCGGGAGGCAGAGTCCTGGAGAGTCTGCTGCCCTCCCCTCTGCCAGGTGGTCCCGCCGGCCTCTCTCCCCTGTGCCAGGTGGTCCCGCCGGCCTCTCTCCCCTGCCCGCTGGCCCTGCTCACACAGGAAGTGGAGGGGTCCTTGGGAGCCATGGTCTGAATGTCTGTGTCGCCCCGAAACTCACAATTTGGAATTATAACCCCCAACGGGATGGGACTGGGAGGTGGGGCTTCTGGGAGGTGATGAGGCCATGAGAGGGGGCCTCATGCACAGGATCAGTGCCCCCATGAAAGGGACCCCGGAGCTCCCTCCCCCCTCCACCTTGTGAGGACACAGCAACCCACGAGAGGCCCACTGACCCCCTGGCACCTTGATCAGACGCCCAGCTTCTAGAACTGTGGGCACCAAATTTCCTGAGACGCCCAGTGGGAGCCCCCTGCTCCTGGCTCTGCGGTGGAAAGGCAGAGACCAGAACTGCGCCCCCAGCTGCTGGGACCGCGTCCCCAGTCCTGAGGACTTGCTGACAGCAGACTGTTTCTACCCAACCAGCCAGCTGTGGGCACAGCTGCACTAAAGCAGGCAATGGCCACTCTCAGTTTCCAAGCCCCCCCCCAAGCCTTCACGCCAACAGACCGGCCGGCTGAGTGCGGCTGACAGCCGGCACTCCCAGGAGGTCTGCAAGGTCACCACGCACGGACCCAGCAGACACGAGCCTCCGCCCCACAGCACATGCGGGCTCGGTTCCTGTGGGCCTCCGGCCACCAACTTTGTCAGCCGATCAGTACCGCCTTGTTCTATGTGTATCCTGTTTAAAGACACCCTATTCAATACAGAATGCCCCGATCCACGGGGGGTACACTCCAAGCCCCCCGAGGACGCCTGGCACACAGTCCACACGGAACTCGACACACACGGGCTTCTCCCGCGCCCACGCCTGACGGCTCTCCGGCGAGTCCCACGGCCAGCGTCACTCCGCGTGCACGTTGGGGCGATGATTAAGCAAGATGAGCACAGCACTGTGCTGCCGCCGCGGCTGGTCTGGGCAGCAGCACGGTCCCTCGGCGGCCGACGGAGGAAGTGTACGCCGTGCGCAGAGGCCGGACAGCGGGCTGATTCCCGTCCCGGGCGATTTCTAACCTACGAAGTGTTTATTTCGGGATTTTCCCACTGAATGTTTTCGGGCACAGTTGGCTGCAGACAACTGAAGCGTGGACAAGGGAGGACCTTCCTGCGCACCTGTCGGCTCACTACCTGGTCAGCACTGCTCTGCCAACTCGCCTGGAGCAGGGCTCGCCCGACACAGGGGTTCCCCGACGGCCAGTCCCAGCCGTGCTCAGAAACACGGACAGCACCCCTGCACCCCGCCCGGGGCCATTCCAAAGAGCAGGTCAACAACAAACACACAAAATGGCAAAACGACGTGGCCCTCGCTATCCCTGGTGGGAACGCAGGGACCACGCACCTGCTGCTCGAGAGCAGCCGCGGAGGGCCCCCCACTGACCTTGGGCTTCCACACAAGCCTCAGGGAGCAGGCAGCCACGGTCTGTCAGACACGGGTCTGTGTATGAGGACTGACTGCGTTTTGGGGGGACACTGGGTGACCAAAGCCAGACCAGGCCTCCTCTGTCGGAACTGCCTCTTTCCCAACAGTTTCTAGTGAAAACAAGACACTACGACTGCGGACAGTTGTCCATTCGCACTGGCAAGGTGCCCACATGGTCGGTCGGCCCAGAGATCTCTCTACCTGACTCTCTACTGGGAAATAAACCAGAAAGCTGACCGAGGTAGGTCTCAGCTCGGATAAAATCTGTACTTACTGACCGGTTCCTTCCTACACCCTGTGGTCACTTTTGGTCATGGTCAGTGTCTTCCTTGGTCTTGAGAGAGGCCCGAGGTGAGGCGGGACCCCATGGGGTGGTGGAACGAGGGTACCCGGCCAGTGGGGACGTCAGAACCAGGCCTGGCAGCCCACTGACCTGCTGCAAACCCCAGCTTCTCCGGCCCCGCCCGGCCCCTCCCCGCTAATCCAGGTCAAGTCCACCTGCGCCAGGGCCAGGGGAGGGGCTGTGGTTCCAGAGGCCAAGCTCCTCCCGTTCCCAGAGGCGGAGTTAGAGGCAGATCATTTATGGGTGTCCCGGGGCCTCTCTCAGCCTGGGGCCAAGGCCTCCTGGAGGAGGGGACTCTGGGCCCTGAGCTCCGGGAGGGAAGGGACGCCTCTGTCCTCTGAGCCATCAGGCATCTGGCAAAAAGCAACTGTTTATTGATATAAGTAAAAATTAAAGTGTGTGTGTAGGCAGATAGAGAGACAGACAGAGATAAGAAAGGGATAGAGGGTTGTGTGTGTGTGTGTGCGTGCGCATGTGAGCATGTGCGTGCATGTGCGAGTGTGTGTGAGGTGTGTGCGTGTGTGAGTGTGTGTGTGAGGTGTGTGAGTGTGTGTGTGAGGTGTGTGCATGTGTGAGTGTGTGTGAGGTGTGTGCATGTGTGAGTGTATGTGTGTGAGTGAGGTGTGTGCGTGTGTGTGACTGTGTGTGGGTGTGAGGTGTGTGCGTGCGTGTACAGGCATCTGAGCCCCATCCTGAGGCTGATCCCCATCAAGCCTGATTTAAGCACAGTGAGTGCAGAGTTTGCGAGCAGAGGGAGAGCTACGCCTGAGCTGGGGTCCCCCGGTGCACGGGGGAGGGGGGTACACGGAACCGTGATGGGCCTACGGCGGGAAGTAGGGGGTGAGCGAGGCTGACTGGCAGGCGAGGCAGGACAAGCCCCCCCCAGGACGCAGAGAACAGGCAGCTACCCAGCCACGGGTGCCCGGGGGCCCAGAAGGCAGCTGGCTGAGTCATTCCCCATGTAAATAGCTCGCTTATCTCTCTTGGAGGACTTCTGTTGTAAACAGAGGTTCCTGAAGCCCAAGTGGGAACAAATCTCTAAAATGGCCTTTGTGGGAGACTTGCTGGATGTCTCCAGATCACCCCTGAGGCCCAGCCCTGCACAGGAGGCAGGCAGCCCTTGGGCGGAGGGGGGCCGGCTGCAGAGGAGAGGAGGGGTGGGGGGAGGGGCAGCGGAGGGCTTGGGCCCTGGGCTCCCAGCACCAGCCCCAGGCCAGCGCCCCCGTACCTCTGGGCTGTCAGATCCGTGGAGACCTGGCTGATGACGCCACCGTGGTGGGAAGAGGCGGCTGCGGGTGGGTTTTCCAGGTCTTCAGGGGCAGCTGCCTGGGTGACATCACCTGCTACAGGGGAGCTGAGGGGAGAAGAAAACACGGGGCTCAGAACAGCCACACCAGGCTCTGGCTCCCCGTCTCACCTGGGCCCTGAGCAGGGCCTGTTTCCCTCCACAACGGAGGGTCTGGTGCTGGTCCGGGGGGCCTGGCGCCACTGCCCGATGAGGTGGCACAGAACCCGCAGCGACGGCTTAGGAGGCGGGGGCAGCTGGCGGGAGGAACCCAAGGTCTGCGAATCGAACCTGAAAGTCAGGGCCTGTGCCGGAGGTCTGATCGGTGGTCTCGTGGGGGCGCTTGTGTCTGGGCATGGCTGGCGGTGCCTGGAGAGTTTCTGGTTGTCACCACGGGCAGGGGTGCTGCCAGACACCCCACAACGAGAAATGGTCGGCTGAACCGTTGTGGGGTGTCCGGCAGCAGTGCCGAGGCCGAGAGACCCCGGCTTGGCATCCTTCCCTCCCCTGGCAGCCTCCAGAGGGCACTGTCTTCCCCGGGTTTTTATCTACAGTGAGTTAGAAATGAAGACCGCGCGGGCCCCCCTGGGGTGACGGCTCCCAGTCCAGCAGGAGGCCCCCAGCGCCCTCCTTCCTCACACACTCGGCTCTTTGGCCATAGGTCAAAGGACAGTTATTTCCTTCCCTCCGGTGGACGGAGACTGGACACCAGCTCCCTGCTGGGACGAGAAGGAGCTGGCCCTACCCCACGAGCTCAGTCTCAGGCAGGAGTCAGACATTCTTTTAAACTATTTTTTTCTTTATTGATTTTAGAGAGAGAGGAAGGGAGAGGGAGAGAGATAGAGAAACATCAATTGGCCGCCTCCTGCACGCCCCCCACTGGGGATCGGGCCCACCACCTGGGCATGTGCCCTGACTGGGAATCGAACAGGCGACCTCTTGGTGCAGGGTCAACGCTCAACCCCTGAGCCACACCAGCCGGGCCAGACATTCTTTTAAATACGTGTTCACTGCCCTGGCAGGTGTGACTCAGTGGTTAGAGCATCGGCCGGCAGACCAGTCGCGGGCTCGATTCCGGTCAAGGGCAGGTACCTCGGCTGTGGTTCATCCCGGCCCTGGTCAGGTTGTGCGGGGGACAACCAGTCAATGTGTCTCTCTCACATCAGTGTTTCTCTCTCTCTCCCCCTCCCACTCTATCTGAAGATAAACGGTAAAATATCCTCGGGCGAGCATTTAAAAAATAATTAATAAATTGATTAATTAATTAATTAAATGCACGTGTACTTGGTAACAACTGGAGTGCCCCCTACAAAGGAGGGTACAGGTGGCTCTGGAGCATGAACGGGGCGGTCCTTCCCCAAGGGGTCGGGGAGCCTTCCCGGCGGAGCGGTCAGCGGAGGCCAGGCGGCCAGCTCAGTCGGCAAATGTTTCCTGACCCCGTGTGCTGGGAGCGGCGAGTCCCCGTGCTCACAGCTGTCCCCACACTGATCCTCACGACAGCCCTGTGAGGTGGGTGCAGCATCCCCCCTTTCATGGGTGTGGCCAGGAGGCACAGAGGCCAAGGAGCTCGTCCAAAGTTGCACAGCTGATCAGGGGCAGAACCAGAGCACAAACCGCCGGACTCCGGGAACCACCCCTTAACCACCGCATCAGGTGTGTCTCAGGCTGCAGAGTAAGAAAAGGGAGTGTGCCCTCTGGCGCAGGGAGCCACTGTCTGAACGCCCTATTCGGGAGGGGCCGGCACTCCGGAGGAACGCTCTGCACACGAGAAGGCTAGGGAGGGGAGGTGGGCAGGGGAGGTGGGCAGGGGCCAGGTGTCAGGCCAGGTCCAGGGACGGGGGGCTGTTCCCTGCAGAGGCGGCCCGGGGCGAGTTTCCCAAAACTAGGCTCTACATACGATTAGACAGGCACACGTGTGCCCACTGTGGATCCCCTGGGTCTTCTGACGGTTCTGTCTTCCTCCACGGTTCCCCCCTGCCGTTCCCAACCCCAGACCCCGTCCTGCAGCCTACGGCCACGCCCAGGAGTCAGCAAGAACAGGGATGAGGATGGCGGGACACATCTTGGCGGGACCCCGACTCGGAGAGTCCCGGCCCAGGCCGTAGCGACCCTCCAGGGTCGTGGAGCTGAGTGGAGCCCCCTCCCTGGAGTCTGGCAGCACAGGCTGAAACCCATAAATCTTTGCTCCCTGTGATGTGCCTGTTCCACTTCCAAGCGTGGGTTCCCAGGGGTGGCTGAGGTGTGAGCAGAGAGGCTGGTCACCGCTGGGACCATAGGAGCAAAACAAAAACCCAAACTGGACAATCCAAGTGTCCAACCACAGGGGCCAGTTAGTCCAACTCAGTCCACAGAATGGCCCAGTGGCAGCTGTTAGACGAAACAGGGAGGTCTCCATGTACCTAGGGGTTAACATGTCCATCAAGAACTAAAAATAGGCTCAAACACTTTGGCAGCATGGTCAGGTTTATGTGCATGGATCGACAGATAAGTATCATGTGTGTATGCACATGTGCATGTATGTTCATGAAAGTGTGAGAGTATGTGTGTGCATGTGTGTATAAACACACAGAGAAGGAGAGCAACAGAGGGAACAGCCCCAAGCAACACGGAAGGACACGCACCGGGTGTTCACGCGTGAGATGATGAGCGTTTCCTTCTTCGTTGAGTCGCCTGTTTTCTAGCTCTAGGCTGAACACATCCTGGCCTTATGACAACAGCAATAAGAGAACATCTACGGGAACGCAGAGGGGCAGGGAAGCACCTTCCGTTCAGGACTCGGGGCAGCTTTAAGAGCGGGGACAGCCCAGCGAAGCGCCGTCCTCCCGCCCCTGTGTGCGGACCTCCCACTGTGCGGCCTCGGCCGCAGCCCGGAAACGGCTCCGCCTCGCTCATCGGGCACCGCCGGGGACAGCGCCGGTCCCAGGTCACACATGTCTGCCCGCAGACTCCACAGGATGGCATTTTTATCTGGACTGTCTGGGATGGAATTGTTTTGCAAAACACATTGGACATTTCCTGATTTTCTGAACCGAGACTCTCGAACGTAATGAGAATGTCCTCAGTGGCCTGTGCCCAGCACCTTGCGCGGCTGAGAGTGAGGACGGCCGCTACGGCCCTAAGAAAATGATACGACGTCAAGAGGCCTGGGCTCTAGGGCAGCCACACCTGGGGTCTCCGCCAGGTGACGTCTCTGAGCCTCAGCTTGACCCTGTCCAGGCAGGGCCCTGGGCTCAGGACTACGGAGGACTCGTGCGGCGAGACGGTCCCTCCCTTGCAGCTGCCAGCCGGCGCTTCTGCTCACCAGCTCGTGTGACACTGAGGCTGCCTCCCAGTCTGTGTGCCGAGGGTGTCAGAACGCGTGTCAGTCCGGGATTAATGAGCCCTGAGAAGGGCTGATGAGCCTCCCATCCGGCACAACTGTAATCACTTTAAAACAAACGCGCGCGTGTGTACATACAGATACATTCGATGGAACCACATGAAATGGCGAAAAACAAAACAAAACTGTGAAATACACGCTGTACCGGCAGCCTGGGGCCTCTCCGCCTTACTTCCTGGTGATCTGGTTTATGCTCCGGGCACGGACAGGAGGGAGTGACTTCTGGGTAGGCGGGAGGCTCCTGGGACAGCTCTCCTCGGACCAACTGCGGGAGGCTATAAATGGCTTCTAAATGCTACCAGCAACCGAAATATTTTTCAGAGTGGAAAAAAAATCTGTCAGAGATTTTAACCACCAGCTGCAGCCGCCAGCTGCAGGACAGCCCACTGTAAATTCAGGCCAGCAAAGGGTGGGTTTGCCATAGGAATGTCCAGGTGGGAAGCTTATAGCGACAACTGCTTCCCCCAAGGGCCATGAGTCACCTCCTTAGAGACGGAGCCAGAGAGGGTTCTTCTCCTAAGAGGAAGTCATTCACACTCTAGTCTAAAAAGCCAATAACTTCAGTTCTACAAGTGGGACCCAGGCCATAGGAAGAGCTCTTGGCTGGCACCAGGATGAATCACAAGGGCTCAAACGTAATAATAATGCCCTGGCCAGTTTGATTCAGTGGATACAGCGTCGGCCTGTGAACCAAAGAGTCATGGGTTCGATTCCTGGTCAAGGGCACGTACCTTGGTTGCAGTTCGATCCCCAGCCCTGGCTGGGGTCGGGCGAGAGGCAACCAGTGGATGTGTCTCTCTCACATCGATGTTTCTCTCTCTCTCTCTTTCCCTCCCACTCTGTCTGAAAGTCAATGGAAAAATATCCGCAGGTAAGGATTTTTTTAAAAAGTAATAATAATAATGAGTGAGCAGGAGGAAGCTTTGGGAGGTGATGGGTATGTTATGGCCTTGATGGCGGCCATGGTTTCACTTATCCCCAAACTCATCAAGTTGTAAAAGTTAAATGTGTACAGCTTTTCATACGTCAATCATACCTCAAGAAGGACGTTTAAAAAAACCGGGATCTCACATTTCAGGGTTGACTAATCCAGAGCGAGGCGAGTTCAAAGTCTGAGCAAGGAGAACTGTGGAGGGTGGCAACAGGAAAACAGACGCCCCAGGAAAAGGGCTTCTTTCAGGCCGGGCGCTGGGAAGGCCCCTGGGGGATGGACACCAGCCAAGCGCTCCGAGGGACAGATGTGTGCAAGGCTTTCCAGAAGAAAGGACGCTCTCCTCCCCTCCCAGAGGGCCCAGTGGAAAGCCACTGGGCTTCCCCGCCCTTCCCTGGGACACGCCAGGAGCACAGGAGAAGGGGAGGGCTGCGGTGGCAAAGCAGGGACGGTCTCTTAAGGAAATCATTACCTACGGGGAGATTAGCAGAAAAACCACACATTGCGGATAATGGGAGCCAGGTGCTCACGCCAGAGAAGGGCGTGGCCACACCAAAGCTGATTCAGCGCCCAGGGCTCCCAGGGCTGGGTTGCAAGTAGATGGGTGTGCGTGTGTGTGTCTGTGCGTGTGTGTGTCTGTGCGTGTGTGTCTGTGTGCGGGTCTGTGTCTGTGTTTTTACACACGCTCAGACTTCCATTTTCTAGCTCTGTCTGCCAAGCAGTTGTGTCCAGAGGACCTCACACCACGTCAAAAGGCCC